TTAACTATTTATTTATTTATTTATTTTAATTTGGCCAGAGAGGGACAGAGTCAGAGAGAGAGAGAAGGAAAGTGAGAAAGCAAGCCACCAGATCCAGGACTCGAACCGCAGTCAGCCATGTGTGGGAGTCCAGTGCCCTTAACCACCACATCACCTGCTGCCCCCCCCCCTTCCTCTTTTAAAAGGCTGCTCCTTTTCAGTCTGGTCCCATGACCTGGTGATAAGGAAGCCAGATTCCACATGACTGTCCACATGCTTCAAGTTCTGGACCCAGAGGCTTGAAAAATACTAGGCACATATATGTGCCCAAAATCTTGACAGGATGGTAGTTTTTCGATAGGGTGCGTGCGCTGTCCAGAAAGAGAGGTAAAATGAGAAATCACTCGCCCCAGGGGAGATGACCATACCGCATTCCCTTCTCCTTTCTCCTCTCAGGATTGGGGGCACGCACACACACACACGCCTGCTGTATTAAGCTGTCAGCCCAGGACTCGAACCTCATAGCTGGCCATGTGGGATCCAACCACCTTACCTACCTACTTATTCTTTCACTGTAACCAGGTAATGGAGGAGGAACCCTGGGTAGGTTGGACAGGAGAAGGGACACAGAACAGTGGAGGGTTAGATAGGAGGAAGGGGGCCAGGTGGTGGCACCGGCATGGCACTGGACCCACATGGAAAAGGTCAGGGGTTCAAGTTCTGGGATGGCCATGAGATGCCAGGTACACGCCTGCCAGTTATCCTGGTGAGCTGAAACTGGGCGTGGATTGTGCGCGGACTCCCTCACAGGAGTCTCCCTGTCGACCTTCCGGTAGAAATTAGCAAACCTGCAGAGAAAAGCAGAAAGAGGATGCAAACCCTCCAGTCTCTTCTGGAGGAATACTGCCACCTGCTGTGCATCGTGTTGGTGGCAGTCAGTTTGTATTTTGAGCAGAGGCGGCCGAGGGCTGATGATGTTGAAGCTGGTGGAAGCAGGGGCCAGTCACTCCTTATCGCTCTGGCCGTCCCGGTTAGAAGATTAAAAGAGAGAGCAGGCGGGAGGGGCCAGCAGGTACCTTAGTGCTTAAGGCACTGGACTCCTCCATGGCCGACTGCAGTCCGAGTCCCAGACCTGGCAGCTTCAGACTCACGCCAGGCAGGTGTGTGTATGTGGCCAGAGTCCCAAGAAGAGAAGGGATTGCGGAGTGGCCATCTGTGCTAGGGGTGAGTTCTCACTTTCTGTCTCTCTAGCGACTACATGCGCCCTATAGCAAAAACATCTCTCTCAAAAACAAGACACACAGAGAGACAAAGTGGGAGGAAACACACACAGCAAATGAGGACCAAGACTCCTGCCTGCTGGAGTCATCATTCTCAGTCGTTGCAGTGTTAGAGTTCAAAGCCCCGTGATGGCAGGGCCTCGGCCCACGCTCCGCCTCGACCCAGGTTGGGTGGGTCCGTGTGACTCACACGGGACCCCAGATTCCCCCCGAGACCTCTACCTCAAGATTCTAAACCCCCATGCTTCTCTGGACCACCTTTAGACCAGACAAAGTAATCCAGCCCCCCGAGCCAGCTCCTTCCAGCATGCACGCAAAACTGGGTCTGTATGGGAGATCACAGGTCCTGTCCCCTGGTCACCGCAGACGGGCCAGGTGTATGTACTTGTGCTCATGGCTAGCTGGGACAGTCATGGGGGCAGGAGGCGTGGGTCATGGCGTGAGAGCCTATTGAAGGGTGTGTGTCTTTCTGTATCTCGTTCTTGTGGAAGAAAGAAAACTTAAAAAATTCTTGCGGCAGCCTACCCTTCCTGGCTTCTCTCCTTGAAGAAGGGCTATTATTTCTTTTTTGCCACAGCGCGCGTGCGCTTGTCAGAGAGAGACAGAGAGACAGAAAGTGAGAAATCACCCCCCGGGGGGGGATGGCCACCCCACAGTCCCTTCTCCTCCATTCTCCTCTCGGGATCTTGGGCACACAGGCACACGCCCGGCCACTGGGTCTGGGACTCAAACTGCGATCCAATGTGTGAGCCCAGTGACATAACCGTTACGCCGTCGGCTGGCCCCGCCTCTTTTCTTCATGACACGAAAGTGATTTTAGAATTTTACTTTCCTTCTTCCTTTCTTTTCCTCGTTTTCTTTCCTTCTTTCTTTTTTCTTTTTTTCACTACAGTACATGTGTCTGCCAGAGAGAGAGAGAAAGAGAAGGCACCCCCGTGGGACGCGGTCACGCCTCAGTCCTTTTCCTCCATTTCTCCATCCTGTCAGGATTTGGGAAATGCTCTCACATGTACCTGGCCTGTTTTTCAACCCACCAGGAGCTGAGATTCAAACTGCAGTGCACCATGGCTGGCCCTGAAACATTGAAGGACGTTTCTTTTTGTATTTATTTATTTATTTTAAAGAATTATTTTATTTAACTTTATTTATTATTGTCCTCATTATGTCATCATTATTATTTTCCAGTTTGATCAGAGAGAGACAGAGAGAGAGAGGGAGAGGAAGTGAGATAGCAAGCCACCAGGTCTGGGACTTGAACCATGGTCGGCCATGTGGGAGTCCAGCACCTTTAACCACCATGCCTCTTGCCGGCCCCTATTTATTTTTTAAGAATTACTTCACTTAATTTTATTATTATTATTATTTTCTATTTTGATCATAGAGAGAGAGAGAGACAGGGCAAATGAGAAAGCAAGCTACCAGGTCTGGCACCCGACGTGTGGTCAACCTTGTGGGACTCTAGTGACTCAACCACCATGCCACCTGCCAGCCCCAAGGGCCATTTTTTGGAGAGGGGTTTTTGCTATACTGTGCGTGCACTCGTCAGAGAGAGACAGAAAGTGAGGAATCGCCCCCCCCATGGCCATACCACAGTCCCTTCTCCTCCATTCTCTTCTCGGGGTCTTGGGCACGCACGCACATGTGCCCGGCGTGAGGTTTAAGCCACCAGGTCCAGGACTTGAACTGTGGTCAACTACATTGGAGTCCAGCAACATAGCCATCACTCCAACTGCTGATCCCAAAGGCCATTTCTTGCTGCATCCTTTGTTCTCCCAAATCAGAAGCCAGACAACCCAGAGCGGAGCCCAGCACCCCATACTTTCTGCGCATTTGGGACCACGGTGCCGCCCACAGATCCGCTTGTCCATCCGTCCAGCCTTCAGTCTAGCCTCACTGTCGGCCGTCTTCTGCCCCTGCAGGTTTTTCCCACTCGGCCTTCACCTTTGGTATCGAGAGCCACATCAGCCAGTCCAACATCAATGGGACACTAGTGCCGCCGGCCGCCCTCATCTCCATCCTCCAGAAGGGCCTGCAGTATGTGGAGGCCGAGATCAGCATTAACGAGGTACGTCCACTTCGGTGCCAGGCGCGGGGACCTGGCCACCAGCCTGCAGACCCTGGGCCACGTGGGGGCAGCTCAGGTCTGCCTCGGCATGGGGTGCATTCCCCGGAGGTGTCGGAGGGTGCTTGGGGGCTGTTTTTTCCTCTGTGTGTTCAGGACGGTCATGTCAGTAACACCAGTAGCAAGCCTTACAGATGCCTTTCCCCAAGCTGTGTTTTCCATGTGGATACACGGTCCAGGGTCCTGGACTGACGTAAGCCATCCGTTGCCACATCTGAAAAGACCCGCAGTAGGTTCCCAGCTCCTCTTTTCCACATACTCATTGCACGGGCTCTGCTTCATTTCCTGGGGCGGGTTAGTTAGAGGGATCCCGTGCGTGATATGTCAAAATAGAATCTGTCTTTCGTGTGACTGGAGCCAGGGTGGGGGCATGACCGGAGGGAGAGTCGGAGACAGAGAGGTAGTGAATTCACAGTGATGAGGCTACCACTGCAGAGCCGATGGGGTGCATGGACTCCTAACTGAATTAAAGTTGGACCATCCCTGCCTTGTGGCCTAGTGGTTAAAGGTGCTGGATCCCACATCGCTGACTACAGTGTTTGAATCCTGGCCCTGGTTGCTTGAAAAACATGCTGAGCATGTGTGCCCCAAGTCCCAATAAAATGGAGAAATGGAGAAGGGATTGCGGTGTGACCATCCCCCCATCAAAAGGTGCTTCCTCCCTCTGTCTCTCTAGTAAACACATGTGTCTTCTGGCAAATTAAAAAAAAAAAAAAACCTGTACCAATTTGCCTTTTGGATTGGGACACAGGAGTGTTTGTGCCAGTATTATGCCAGTTTTGAAAATGGGTTATTTGGGGGCTCTAGAACGACTTGGTGGTTAAAGTACTGGACTCCCTCTTGGCCAACCACAGTTCAAGTCTCACACCTGGAAGGTCGCTTTCTCACTTTCCCTCTCTCTCTTACTCTCATTCTGTCTCTTTCTGGTTAAATTAAAATTTAAAAAAAAAAAAAGGATGACAATGATAAATAAAACTAAAGAGAAAGGAAAAGAAAATAAGTGGGTTATTCAACATGTCCCCTCTCCTTCCTGCATCCTCTCAATCTGCCTGCCAGGTCCGGCAGCAGAGATCTCCCGGGCTCCTGTGACCTGTGACCTTCTTTGCCATCTTCACTTCCCAGCTCCCTTCACTGCCTCCCGGTCCTCTGGAGACCAAGGCACCCGAATCTTCCCAGCCTTCTCCGTTCTCTGTCAGTCTGTCCCGCCCCTTGACACCTCCTCCCAGGTTCAACTCTTGGAGAAAATCGCCGAAGTAATCCATCCTGCTTTCTGTCTCACATTTTCCTCCACTACTCCCATATCTTTGGGGGGAAAGAAAACACTTATGTTTCATCCCACCTCATAGTCTTTCTTCCCTGACCACAGACTCTCTCCTTTTTCTTTTCTTTCTTTCTTTTTCTTTTCTTGCTTTTTTTTGGGGGGGGGGGGGGTTGCCATAGGGTGCATTTGCTTGCTGGAGAGAAACAGAGAAGGAAAGTGATAAATCAACCCCCCAGTGTGAATGGCCATGCCACAGTCCCTTATCCTCCTGGGATTTGGGGCACACACACTTTGCGTGATTTTTAAGCCACCAGTTTTGGAATTCAAACCTGGTCAGCCATATGGGAACCCAGCACCTTAATCACCATACCACCTGTTGAACCCATCTCCTCTTTGAGGTTCCATTAGAGGCCTGGGTTCTTCCACTGACTCCTTTGGGTCCCATCTAGTCTATCCAGAATCAAGACTAGGGATGGGGTACTCGTCCCATCAAACCCCATCAGCTCTCAGATCTTAGGCTGCTACAATTTGATTTTATCTCTGGATGCTGTTTTCCATTTCTTTCATTGCTGGAGATGCAGGGTCCCAGTGCTCCATGACCGACCCCCAGCCTTGGCCAGCCATAGACATACATGTGCCTGGCGTGTTTGAGGAGGCCTCCAGATCTGAACCAGGAACCTTCCCATGTGGGTCAGCCTCAGAGAGCACCAGCTTTTACTGATCTACTAGCATCCAGTTCCTTGTCAGGTTTTTCTTATTTCCAGTATTGTATTGTCATCAGAACACAGCTGGGTTGATGTTTCATTCTGAGACTCCCCAGCCATAACATGCATCTTTCAGTTGTTCTTCATTTCCTAAGTAATTTAAGTTCAGAGCGTATAAAAACCTGCCTGCCCATCCACACCCAGTGGTATATGGAGGTCCACATAATTGTCATATTTGGCATGCTTCCTGAGGAAGGACCTTCCTCCTGCCTTTTTTTAGGTGTGTGTGGAAATTGTTGTTGAGAAGAGGAGTGGTAGGAAACATGAAATTCTGGGCGACATGAGTTAGTGTGAGTGAAAACGATGGAAAAGGGAATTAATGGGACAGAACAAGACAGAGGAATTCTGAGAAGTTTGAAGAATTGTGAGACAGGGAGAAAATGAGACTGTAATAGAAGAGAAGAGATGTTAATAAAGGAGGGAGAATCTGAGCGGAGATGGGACAAGAGTATGGAAGGTAATGGGAATGAATTGGAATGTATGGGAGAGAAAAGGAAATCCCGAGGGAGAAGCAAGTCTTAAGAAGAACAACAACATTGTTGGGGAAAACAGAATGGTGACCGAGGGAATGATGGGAGAGACAGAACTAGAAGAAACAGAAGGTTATTGGTGAGATTACAATTATGGAAAACATGGGAATAGAAAGGAGAATGGAGAATTCTGGGAAGCGGAATGGGGACAGAAAGGTAGGGTTTAAAGAAAAACAATGGGAAGAAGAAGAAATGGAGGGTAGGATAGAGATTTGTGACAGACCATAGGATGCAAAATGATGGAAGCAAATGGGATTTTCTGGAAAAGGGAATTGTGAGACAATGGGTCATGTGGGAAAGAAGAGGAATTGTTGGAGAGACCGAGAATTTAGGGGAGAATAGAGAATTATGGGAAGATATAAAATAGCGGGGTTGTTAGAGAAGAAAGGAATTACAGGAGACACTGTCATAGAAGAAACAAAGAATTGTGGGAGAACACGAATTTATGGAAGAAAAAAAGGAATTATAGGAGTTACATAGAATCATGGGGAAAAGAAGAATTATAGGAGTGACAGGAAGTAATGGAAGAATAGGAAATTATGGAAAAATAAATTACTGGAGTCACATGGAATCTCAGAGAAATGAATTACAAGAATGACAGGAAGTCATGAAAGATACAGAATAGTTGGAGAAACAAGGAGTTATGGGAGAGACAGAATGTTATGAAGGAAATGGAATTGTTGGAGAAATAAAGAATTATGAGTGTGACAGGAAGTCATGAAAGAATGAATTGTGTGAAAATTCATTCTTGGGGAAAAAGGAATTATGGAAGGGAGGTTGGATATGAGGAATTATGAAGTCATGTGATTATGACCAGAAGTTATGAAAGAAAGAGGAGATATGGGAGGTACCAGGAGTTCTGGGAGTTACAGGAAATCCTAAGCAGAACTGTAGAAGAAACAAGGAGTTATGAGAATGACAGAAAATCATGACAGGAATTGTTGGAGGACAACAATGTTTGGAGGAAATGATTGGAATGACCATAATTTATTGAAAGAAACAAGGACTTGAAAGAGGAACAAGGAATTATGGGAGCCACAGAAAGTCATACAACAAACAAGGAATCATGAAAGAAACAAAGAATTGTGAGAGAGGATATTATCAAAGAAAGCAATGGTGGGAGACATCATGGAAGTGACAGGAATTCGTGAAAGAAACAAGGAATTGTTGGAGGACAGTTGTTGTAGGAAATTATTGGAATGACTGGAATTGTTGAAAGAAACAGTGTATATTGTAAGAGGAAAAGAGGAATTATGGAAGCGACAGAAAGTTACACGAGAAATGGAATCATGGGAGAAACAAGGAATTTCGGGAGGGACAGGAAATCATAAAAGAAACAAAATCTCTGGAAAAATAAGGAATTGTGGAAGTGACAGGAAGTCATACAAGAGACAGAATCATGAGGAAATCAAGGAATTATGGCGGGACAGGAAGTTATGAAAGAAGAGGCGTGGGAGATAAGAATTATGGGAGTGTAATTATGGCAGTCATGAAAGAAATGGAGTGGTGAGAGAAACAAGGAATCCTGAGAGTGACAAGAAACTGAATTGTAGAAGGAAAAACAAATGATGGCAGAGGACCGAGAGTCATGAAAGAAACAAGGAATTGTCAGAGGACAGGAAATGACTGAGATGACCAGAATTCATGAAAGTTAAAGGAAATTTTATGAGGAGAAAAAGAAGTATGAGAGTCATGGGAAGTCATGTGAGAAACAGGGAAATATGGGAGAAATGAGGAATTCTGAGAGGGACAGGAAATTCGGATAGAAACTGGGCTTTATGGAAGATATGTGGAATTATGGGAATTACAGGGCATCACGAAAGAAACAGAATTGTGGGAGAAATAAAAGGAATTAGTGGGAGTGACTGGACGTCATGCAAGAAGCAGGAAACAGGAGTAAAAAGGAGTTTTGGGAGTTTCAGGAAGTCATGAAAGAATCAAATGGGGGAGACAGAATAGTATGGAAGGAGGACATTTTAGAGTCACTTGGAATCACTTGTGAGAAATGAACTATGGGAGTGACATGAAGTCAAAAGGAACCGATGTGGGAGGCAATCCAGAGTTACAGAAGAGAGAGAATGTCATGAAAGAAACAAGGAATTGTTGGGGACAGAAAATTATTGGAATAACTGGAGTTCACAAGTCGGGAAATTGTTAGGGGACAGGAAATGATTAGAACGACTAGAATGCATGAAAGGTACAGGGAATTAGAGGAGAAACAAGAATTATGGGAGTGACAGAAATACACTGTTAAGTTATATGTAATACACTGTAAAGTTATGTGTAATCCAGTGTAATATAAAGAAGATTATGATGATAATAAAAATAAATAAATTTAAAAAAAAGAATTATGGGAGTGATAGGAACTCACGCAAGAAACTGGGAAAG